AAACTAGCTTGAGGTCGATAAGGCATTTGGTGGAGTAGAGCACAAGGTCAAAATCTCACACCACTTTAGGCCTCTGAAGACGACGATAAGTCGAAACGTAAGGCCGCAATAAAGAGCTTCACCAAACCTCGTATGGCATAAGAAAACAGTATCACATACTATTATTATTGCCAAAATGACCAACACCATTATCTTTTTTATCGGAAAAGTAGGTTTTAAAACCCTAATCATAGCTAAAAACAGATTTCATTGCGACGAAAATTCAAAACAAGCATTATAGGCGAATTTTGTCTCAAGCAAACTAACTCGAAATTGCGGGCGAACTAGTCGTAAGATGTGAGGTCACTCAAACAATCATGTCTGAGGTGTTCTAGATTGATTTCACACTTCAAAGTTGGATATCCAGGAGTCACTCAGTCATTCATCGGTAAATGAGCAAATCTCTCGAATTTCACGACCAACACATCAGCTGTTCATTGATTGCCAAAAAAAGAACAAAAAATCAAAACAAGATTTTATAAATAGTCAAGCATCACCCCAGCTTGCAACAAGCTTATATCTCACTATCAAAAGTTATTTTTACTTGACGATATCGCCCGAGAAACTCGTCCGCCGCAGTACGGCGGAGTTTCGAGCGAACACGTTATTGCCAGTTCATGACCTCGCGCGCCACTGGTATAAACTATCGTTCATCTTGACATATACCCCTCAAAAAGGTCATCAGAGTACCTGGCTCTATGCATCAAAAGGATGATCTTAGTCAATCTCGTTCGATCTTGTGTGTATTGGCATGCTTTCGTGTTTCTTTATCTCGTCTTAATTAGGTCGGTTCAACATTCAACGTCATGTTTAGTGAGCGTATTGTTACTTATATCGTTTCTTCTTTTTCACTGAATCGCATTATCACTCGCATCCTTTTTATGTTAGAGTGATATACCGTAAAGAAGTCGTGGATGTCTCTGGAAAGGTAGAGATGAATTGCTGGGTAATATGAAGTGTCGCGGCTCGCGCGATGCAAGCCAGCCTATCCTCGATTCAGGTGCCGGAAGCACTGCATGCCGCTGGATCGGGCTATTGTTTCCGCGCCCGAACCTCTCCTCACTGGGCGCGTTGCCAAGTCAAGGGGTATATAAAGCGGCGCAACGCGCGCCATATGCCTCTTTGGGTTCCTTCATACTACGCGACGCAGCGTACGCAGCGCACGCCGCGTCGCGTACGCCGCGTACGCAGCTGCAGCGCAATGGAAATATGCTCACGGCAGCAGAGCTCCACTTTTTTTGATGTATCTCTATATTTGCTGCATATCCGTGTCCCTCAATAGTGTTCCTTCACATTATGCATCTCTTCCTCTCTTTTGCTTTGTTTATCCTGTCTATCCTTTGTCTATATCAATGATTGATGGAATGACTTAGGTTGTTGTGCTCCCTCTACTTTTGAGTTTCACATTTTGTATTGTAACTGACTGCACATGCGTCATCTGGTTGTATATTGGTAGTATATGGTTGTATGGTTGAGTGTTGTATCTGGTTGTATATTTGCGCTGTTAACATCTCCTTACAAACACATCACTGCATCTCCTTACAAAGACATCATTGGATGAAAAGGATTTCTCTTCTTCATTCTGTTGCAATTGCAAATTTGATGCGCCGTTTTGCCGCAGTTTGTTTTCTTCGTCACAAAACATCATTCAAGTTTCGGCGCTGACTTCAGGTACATTACACAGTTAATGCGGCAAAAAAGACTCGGTGGTTTTACTTTTTCTTTGGGTATTAATCTCACTTCATATCTGTCGTTCTCTTGAAAGACACCTCACTGTGTGTAGCTATCCTTCTGTATCTGACTAAAGAAAATTGTCATGGATGAGAGAAAATATCAGTGATCATGAGAAGGGGTACGAGTATCAATGATAGAGTAAAATCTCACTTGTAAAGTTTCACTTATGTGCTATTGTTAAAAGGGTGTGCAACACGTCTTGTTGATTAGAAGACGATTTATAAATGTAATAGGCAAGATTAATAGCTGAAAGAAAAGTAGGCAGCAAGGTTGCCTTTTTTGATCGTTATGAGTATGTACTGTGACTAAAGTCAGCGCCGGAATCCGGAAAGTGGAGCTCTGCTACCGTGAGCATAGTTCCATTGCGCTGCAGCGGCGTACGCTGCGTGCGCGGCGTAGTATGAAGGAACCCTTTGACTCCGATGACCTCGTTTTCAAACTCCTTTGATTTCTCATGTATTCTTATCGATCATGCTTGGCAGCTCCCCAGCAAGCTCCCATGGATGAGGTTGTTTTGACGGTTGGGCGAAAGTTGTTGTTAGAGCTTCTGGATCATGGCCGCGCTAAAGCGCAAGGAAAATTTTGGGTTTTTGTTTCAAGGTTACCCGGAGTGGAGAGGGCTCGTACCTGTCTTACACGGAGGCGAGTAAGCGCTCAACCCTTGGGATTCCCTGACATTGCGCTAAGATTTAACTTGGTGATGATCGGCGGCTTGTAACTAGGCGGACTCGTCCCGTATTTCCTCCTTTTGTAGTTAAGGATTTTTCGTAGTATAGTTTCTTTTGTGGTGTAGTGTTCCAACCGGCGTTAGGGTGTGCAGATAGTTGGTACAGGGTTGTGTAGGCAGTCGAGCCAGCAAGGGGGTGCCAAGCTCGAGCCGCAATATGAAGTAAATGAATATGCGATAAGATATGAACGAAAACAGTACTGATAATTGGTGAAACCGAGCTGCGGCGGCATCAATATATCCAAACTGCGACTGGCGACGCACACCGAGTGCGCTGCTGCCTGCAGCGTATGGTGTAATATGAAGGAACCCTAAAGTGAATATTGCAGTTGAAACACGCTAGCCTATAATATGTGAGCAAGCTGGAGATCAAAGGCACCGTTCACCCACATTCTCGACTTCCATGTCTTATCGTTTCGGAGCTTTCTCATCCCTGATTTCGAATATGAAGTCGAGAGTTTGGATGATAGACGGGCATTACCGGAGGAGGGCAATGCAGCTTAGGAATCCTCGCCCCTCTTTCTTATCGGAGCGAAGGGCTTTTGAAGCTACATTTTGCGCGGCGACTTGCATTGGCTTAAAGGCGGCGTCCCCGCAAAAAAATGGGTGCCGGGTTTTTGTGGCGATTTAGAGTAGACCCCCTATCTAAGCGATGACTGAAGTTCCGAGCGAAAGAGGGGGTCTAGGAAGCCTGAAATTTGCTCCGAAAGGGCTCGAATCTTACGGTAGGCCCGGACGCCGCTCACATAGCAATACTTGCAAGGCCAGAGTCCGTATAGCGCACACAGTCATTAGCGCAGGGTCCCGCAACGACTCTGCGTCTCTACCTTGCATGCATCTCGTACTCGCCCGAGCCTGCCGTAAGATTCGGGCCACTTGAGGGGGGGGGGGCGATTTGTAGACTTCGTAGATCCCCTTTCGCGCTGCAAACTTCTGTCGTTATCAGGGGATCTACTATTAATTACTACCGGAGCCAGGTACCTGTCTGGTGAGACGCTGCCTTTAATAGGAAGGGTGGGAGGTCCTACTATCATGTGCTGTCAAAAGCTCAAGACCCTTAACTTAGGGCGGACGGTGCCTTCATAATACCTACGATTTTCCAAAACCCTCCTATCAATTCACTAAATTCGCATCTGTTTTCAAAGGTGTGCCAATTCAACATACAAGGGGTAGGTGCGTCTGTTGACCATGCATCGACCTTATTGTTAGAAACATCGCCTCACAAGAGAATGGTTAGAAGTCGAAGTGGCCAATCCATACAAGCTGCAGACCATTGAATGCAGCATAGAAAGGAGACTTTAAATCTGCCTTGCATGACTGCTGAACGCTTTCGTGGAAGAAGGTATAAACCATTATATTGCAAGGAAATCATATATGCAAAGCGCAAATTTGGCTACAGAGCCACGGTGCTTAGCGCTGGCTCGAAACAGGTCTCTATGTACATAAAGTTGAGCTGAATAGCAGACATAATGGGCTGAATTTCGAATTTAATATCTGCGATTTTTCAAGCGTTAAAACCTCTTATAACTTGTCTACAAAGACGTTCAGCAGATATGGAAGACAGATTTGGAGTCGGCGTTCTTTGTTGAATGCACTGGTATGCAGCTTTTTGGATTAGCTGCTTCGACTTCAAATCATGCATCTGTAAGTCAAATCGTCTGGCTTATTCGTTAGACCAAACAGATGAGGCAGATAGGCTAGCGGCGGTTGAGCGATTAAAAGGGCTATGTTTTAACGGAGTGCCGATACACATGCTGTGAAGATTGAATTTCTGGTCGCTTCGAAAAAATGTAAAATGAGGTGGGGTGGTGCATCGTCTAGATGTATTTGATAAATAAATAAATAAATAAATAAATAAAGTGCCACGGAAGAAGCGTATCGTATTATTTGCGAGCATTTATCATTTTGTAGTAGAAAAAATAAAGCAAGATGAGTGCAATTCGACACTTTTGAGTATTGAGCCGCCTGAATCATTACGTTGTTGCCATGGACTGTCAGATCTTTCCTTGCGATTTCGATGAACTACCTCAAAAAATTAGCATAGCTAATGAAAAACTGCGCGTGGGAGATGGAAAACGCGGATTGCTGACCTTATTACCTATTCGGGTACAGGAATCCACGAGGCCGTTAACTGTTCGCTTTCTCGCTTCAATTTTTCGTAGGTAGATTACTGTTTTTGGCGAAGGAAAAATAACTAAAAGCTTCGGAGACATTCGCAGTCTATGCAGAATACAGAAAATGGAGTATGAAAAATTCTCTCTTATTTTGATGAAGTAATTTGTATGAAAGAAACAAAATTGTCTAAGGAAGCTTTTTTGAGTTTTTTGCTCCCTTTTACTATTCCGCGCGAGTAGGCAAGCTGTCTGTCATCAAACCTATTCGATTGTAACTTATTGTGACTTATTCATTTTCAGAAATCACTGCGACCGTGATTTTGTCAAAACTCAAGCATCTCAACCCAAAAAAGGAACAATTTCCTGTAAAAGTACCATACTATTACCTGTACAAATATTAGGATGACTAAAACGATTATGCTAATGGCTGTGTAGCTTTCTGTGGCTACTATATAGATGAACCATATAATCTCGCTGCCAAGTGTAATTGATTGAAATACCATATATGATACATAAAGTGCTGAAACACGTAAAATGCAGCAACTCCTTTTTGTCAGATCAGTTTCTTTACGTTGTCTTCTCGTGAAATGATAACCAAACCCTGGGAGTGCAATAAGGAATTGTAAGAGCGCAAGAAGAAGTAAGAAGCCGACTCGTTGATTGATTGAAACTCCCACTAAAGATTGTCGCTTTTCCATCTACACTTACAAATGAAGGCTTACCAACTGCAAATATTGTGAGAGCTGCCGCACAGATAAACTGGATTAGAATGACAACTTGAACAACACTCATATTATTAAGGCTGAAAAACAAAAAAATACGGCCATATTGTGCAAGCTTTTTATACTGCTCACTCCTGAATGTAATCACGATAGGACAAAGGCGCCTGGTCCTCTGGCGTAGTGCCAGCAAGGCTGAAAATGCAATGTTTCTATTAAATTGAATTGCGATTTGGTAAGAAGATCTATTACAGCGATTTAATGCAATGATTTTTGTCATTTGGCGTCGCGTACAGCGAATTTGCGTAACCATACAAACTTCCCTTTTTACCTATGCAATGCCAAATGACAAACTGCTGTGTGCGAGCGTTTTGCACAAAGCGCATCAAGCGGATTAAGAGGATGGGATCAAGTATGCCGAGTGCCTTGGAACGATCGAGAGGTAACCACGTTGATGGTTTATAAGGGATCAATTTCGGAGGATGCACCACGCAGCCTTAAGTTCATCAAGGAAGCTTTCCGTGTAGATTAGGATAGCTATCCGTAATCAGCATATCAGATTACCTCTATGAGCTCTACAAACCATTGCTTATTAGATTTCTAGTGTTTCCTAACGTTAAAAAAACGTGATTTTCAAACATGATTAACTTGCTCACAAATTAAAAGAAGTCAGCTTTCTTGTACTCATAACGAAGTACTGCTTCCTGTCAGTTTATTTTAGAAGTTATACTTGATATCGATTCCAATTAGTGGATTAAAAAATGCTGCCATTTCACCCGCGCGTTTTCACTTCGAGTGCTTCGACACTGCGATCACCACAGAGCCGAAACAAGTTGAGAAGCTGAAGCACGTACTACGGAATCTTCGAGGTTTGTGCCATCTAATCACATGATAATTGTGTGAAAAAACTTCTTCGGAGATAAGATAAAGTCAGGCGCAGCATCTCAAAAGGTCAGGCTGCCTGAGATTTTGTAGCCTTACACCTAATCCCCTTTGTCTTCAAAATCCAGAAATCGCTCCATTCTTGGTATGAACATTGATTTCATAGCCTCTTCTTGCAACAGCAAAATTTGGAGCCAAACTCTCCATCAATAGGGAAAGTATGAATCTTTCAACAGGCCCATCCAAATCAAAAGCAGACAAGTCAAATCATATGTGATTGTAAAGTGCAGTCACAGAAAATCGGGCGTACAGACATCAAGATTTCGGAACCTTTTAAAAAGGATGAAGGTTCTCCATAATGTCACACTCTGAGGTTCCGGAGTTGAAGAGGAGGGGAAAAGGGTCGTTAGGCAGCTTTCAGAGGGGGAGAAAGTCGTTTTCAAAAGACTTGTACCTGAGCTTCTGCTCAACTCTGGTAAAGATAGCGACCTGTGTGCACGAAAACTATCTCAGTTATTTATCAGCCTTTATCGCATTTGCAGATTTGTGATATGCTGTACTATACCCATGTCGGGACGAGACCAGGTCGTATCCATAGAATTTATCAGTTTGTTTGCAGTGCTTTGTGACAATCTCTCCAAGATCTTTCAAACGTGTCAGCAATACCAAACAACCTGTACATTCTGCAATATATGACAATGGTACGAAACTTCAACAACCATTTTTCCCATCTTATATGTAAAGCTGAATGTCTGTTTGTCTGTATGTCTGTCTGTATGTATGTATGTATGTACGTATGTTCCGAATAGAAAATTCCATTTCTGAACCGATCGGGACCAAACTTGGCACACATACACTTCGGGCCCCGGCGGGTGTCATAGGCTACTTTTCGTCATCAATCGATGTCGATTTTATCGATTTTTTGCAAAATTTGAGCTACAGGGCTGGGAGTTGGCACAGGGGGATAATCGAGCATGCTGATCACCCCCGTGGGGGTGATCAGCATGCTCGATTACACCCCCCTCCCTGCCAAATTCCAGCCCCCTAGCTCAAATTTGGCAAAAAATCGATAAAATCGACATCGATCGATAACGAAAAGTGGACTGTGACACCCGCCGGAGCCCGAAGTGTATGTGTGCCAAGTTTGGTCCGGATCGATTAAGAAATGGAATTTTCTATTCGGAACATACGGCGGAGCCGGGTAGGCCAGCTAGTATTCTATATGAACAGCAGCAAAAACGCCCAAAATTGTACTCTTCAACTTATTTAAATTTTACTACATTTTCCCCCAACTGCCGTTTTTTCAGCAAGGATGAAAAAGAACGCAGTACTTGCATCGCTCACAATGACAGCGTCGAGCAGATCTGGGAGCACTTCTGTTCCAACAAATTGGTGAAGCGAACTCCTTATGCAAAAGGTAGCTCAACTGCGACTGCGAGATACTGCTTCTGGAGCGAGATGCTGACGGTGTCTGGGTCCTTGCACCTTTAGAAATCCTGACACAGCCGACTCTCGTCTTCGCTCTCTTCCTTACCAAAGCAGAAGGGCGTGGCGGGAACGCCGTTGCGGCAGATGACAGCGTCGCAACGGCGGCATCTCAGTACAATTGCCTGCGCTAAGTACGAGAGTGAATCAAGGGGCGGTCATAGCTGAACTTGTGAAGAAAATTTTTTTTGCATCAGAAGGATATATTGTAGCCGCAGTCGGCCTATGGTTCAAACGGAGCCTGCAGTAAATAATGAGCTGCTCCCAAGATTCCGGACTCTCTTCCAAGATACCGAGTGATAACGATTACGACTCCATTTGGATTAAAAAGGTATATTGTAGCCGCAAAACAATACGTGTAAGAACGAGTCCACAACCCAGTGCCCATGGTCCGCTTTAAAGCAGTTTTCAACCTCCACGCTCTTTTCAGCGTTGCAGGTGCATCTACTACAGCGTCATCGCTCTGCCAGAAAGCGGCCAAAAGCAAGAAAAATGGAACAGTGTGATTAAAACTTTCACTATTGGCTACCAAAGTTCTATTATAGATTGAGACTGTCGGCTACCTACCCAGCTATGCCCATCTTACCGATTGGTGCAGTGTCTTATCACTTAGACTGATATCCCTTCCACGCCTTCCTCTTCAGCATAACCAAACTACTGCTCTGCAGCACTACAACTGAAGCAAAAGATGCTTCTTACGAAGTTGAAAAAAATCAAGCAACGAGTTCTTTCACAGTGAGTGACCACAGTGCGGTAGATGTACCATTGTAAGATAAGCTGAAACCGAGAATCGGAGAGCTTCGGAATTCATGCGGCAACTCTTGTTGGGTCTTCTTCGATGCACGACTTCTCCATGAGTATTTTCACAAAGAAAGAACAACGTCATGAGTATCCTAATCGCTCAACGAAACAACACAAGCGGAGATTCAAACCTTTACCAAAAATTTAGCATGACCTTGCATATTTCTGCTTTACCGCCTCCTGTGAACTCAGTTCACCGAGAAGATCTGACATTTTGCTCGCTAATAAAGGCTTTGCATGGAAGGTAGGTGAGTTTGCGGCTACTATTCGGCATTGAGCTTCCTCAGTCTTCATTCCCTTGTACAATTAGCCGAAGCGATTTTGAAAAGTACGAGGGTTATTTAAGCTGTTTGCGACCTTTTGGCAACCTGTACGCAATGGGCGCAAACTCACCAATTTTCGCAATTTCGCAAATGCCGATATCATGTCGTTGTTCGATGTTAGGTGAAGAACAACGAGCTAGCTATAAAAGAAATGAAAGCTTTGTTGATTGTTTTCCATGTCCGGGCAAGAAAACTGGAACGCTTCCCAGACACCACTAAGGCTTTGGCCATACTTTATACGTGTTACCCGTTTACCAGTGTTACTCATGTTACTCACGTCAAAGGATATTCGCCGACGACTGCTCAGTTGTGTGCATTCACACCAGCGCGAGCGTGCTTTTCGGAGCCTTCCCAGTACAGTATGCTACAGCACGCGGGGAATTTGGAGCGCACAGCCTCCCTGTCCTCTGACCTCTTTTGTTTATTAGCCATTTCACATCGCTTTTTTTCTTCTTAATTTTCATAGCAGGCAGGTATACGTTCTGAAGTTCACATAAGATCAGCTTCGGTGAAGTTAGAAGGAATAATGAGTTTTCTTCATAGTTGCAATGGCGAATATCGTGGTCACGATCGGTAGTGCATTTTTTCTTAAGTGTTCCATACTGATTTGCCATTTTTTTCTAAGATAGACCGTTGATGTGGTTATTTCCGCACTCCTACATCGACGACACATGTAACCTTTGATTCAACGGGCATGAGACACATGTAACCTTTGATTTAACAGGCATGACGTCTGGAAGGCAGGGGCTTTGTGACCTAATTAAGGCGGCTCACGTCCGCGACGCAGTCTGCATCTCTCCCGCGCGCGTGCTCTCCGAAGCCCCGCCTTCCAGCCACCAAGCCAGAATCGAGGGGTAGGAGTGCTAAATTAAACATATGGTCTCTCTCTCAGACAATCGCATCGGGAAGTTCGCGGGTGCTTGCTCGACCACCAATCATCCATGCCGCGAGCTGCCCGGTATAAAGGAAATTGGACCCGATAAGTGACCGCGGTGCACCCTGTAAGCGCCCGATAGTTGACCCGATTAGCATGCTGAGGCCTAGGAAGAGTGAAAAATCTTTTGGTGTGTCTTTCTTGACAACGACTTAGGCACAAATTGAGCAACTTGTTAGCTCATCTGTCGACATCATTTAATGTCGTGGATATTACTCATCCGACTGCTGAAGAAACTCAACTCTGTCAGATAGGACCAAGTCCGAGAAGCGATACCCAGCCTAATAAAGACTTAGGGTAGCCTCATCGCTGCGACGTACCTCACGAGGGTTGCGCGTTAAACTACAGCGTGTAAGAAGTGCGGCCTTTGATAGAGCCCGCGGCCCACCGAGCGAGGTGGTTGGGCCGCGACCTTCCCGGTAATCTCTTCCCGATTTCAACTTTGGCCGCGGCGTTCCCGGTAAAATATACGTGGGCCGCGGCGTGTGCGGCTGAAATTTTAAGGGCCGCGGCGCGCCATGTAACACGCTTTGCGGCCGCGAACTTTCCGATGCAATTGTCTGAGCTACGGACAAGGCAGAATAGCCACCACTACTTATGAAGAAGGCTTACTCTTTCCCTCACCTAAACACGGGACGATGTTTCACGATTCCTAAAATGGTTGTGTGATAGGTAAAGGAGATTGAGAGATGCACCAAAACTCTCCTAGTCTTTCAGCATGCATCAAAACAGATCTTGTAGGATATTCGATCGTCTAAAGAACTAAAGAAGGGGAGAGTGACTAACTGCTTGAAATGAAAGTCAAGAAGAAAAAAACGGTGAGAATTGCTTAATTAATAAAAGAGGTTAAAGGACAGGGATGCTGAGAGCTGCAAAATCCCCGCGCGCTGCTGCGTACTGTAAAACAGAAACTCCAAAAAGCACGCTTGCGCTGGTGTAAATACCAACGGGGCAGTCGTTGACGAATGTCCTCAAACGTGGGTAACATGAGTAACACTGGTAACACGGGTAACACGGATAAAGTATGGCCAAAGCCTAAGGAGCTGGAGGTGAACGTAAGGAAATCTCAGCTTCTTGGTGGTATCTGAGAAAGGAGGGGACAAAAGATATAAAAGGAAGGAGTACAAAAGCATTTCTCTCATTAAGCAAACGTCAATGCATAATGCTATAAAAGCACCTTTGTATGTATAGACAATGGATTTTGGAGGAAGCTGAAGAAAGTAGAAATCTCCGAATGCCGATAAGACTTCTTGCGACGTCCTTATATGCTGAGAGTTCTATTCAACGAAGACGAGATAACACAGTTTTCAACAGAAAATCAAATTAATTGCAAATATTTTCAACGCCGATCTCTTCAGCTTATTCCCGTGCCTATATGTTGCTCCCAGAAGGAAACCACCAACGATTCTTTCTAGCACCAAGACCACATCGTCTTTCTATTTACCTGCTTAGAGGCAGGATAGAGGATGAAAAGCATTTTTTTCACTTTCATTTGTACGCTCAAATCGCTCCATAAATAATAGGTTGGCACATAAGTTTTGCAACCTTGTTCATAACTTCTTTCTCTATGAATGAGGCGCATTCAAATTTTGGTATTTTGTAGACTCGGAAGTGCGCTATAAATCTGCGCAAACTGTTTGATTTTTTGTGGCAAAATAGAAAAAATCTGCGTATTCTCCTAAAAGCAGTCAAAATTGAGGTTTTGTGGTTTTTTAGCAAAAATGAAGACCTACAGAAAGTAAGTTAACCAAATTCAGCCGAAACTGTAGGCAAAATGTTCTCAGAGGGTGGCTACTGAATCTAGCGAAAAAAGAATTGTGATTCATTGTTAAATCGAAATCTGGCGATTTCATAAACTCGAACAAGTCGAATGCGTCAAAGTAGCTTGGATAATTCATCAATGCCAAAGAGTCAGAATCGTCGGATTTTGGCGAAACTTTGCACGATGGGGTAACTTGACATGCTGAATACGAATATCATATTCAATTTTTGTCAGAGTCGAAAATTAGCCTAGTGATTTTTTATAATTTAACTTTTTCGCAGCAAAATAATATTTTCAAGCAAAATGAATATCATTTTCGTAATCAGGATGTCGAATAACCCCCTTAGACCAAGTTTCACCCTAATCCGTGCCAATTCCTTTTTCTTTCCCATTCAAAAATTGCCTTACCGTAACTCTCGAACGTGATGTTGGAATACGGCAGGAATGGTTGCTTTCGCTGTTAGCACGATACTCATTATAATACCAGAAAATAGAAGCGCTACATCGCAAAACACACGAGTTATAAGAAGAAGTTGCAAAACTTATGTGCCAACCTAATAAAACAAACACATCGAGAAGTTAGTATAATACAGCGGAATGAACAAGAAACGTAAACGAATGCAGACATCATCATGTCAATCCGAGTCTAATCCTAGTCAGACTAATGCAAGAATGAAACAGCTTGCATTGAATATATTGATAGGCTAGTAGATGTGTATACAAATGTAGGCATTGATAGGCATTGATACTCATAACTAGCATACAAACGATGAGTGACTGAGAGCGTTATAGCGTTCCTATAAGAAGAAGACGGTGACGACTCCCGCAGACATCACTGAACACGCATGCCTCAGCATAAGCAATGTCTCTCGCGCTCCGCCAGTGTTGCGTCTTGTGAATCGCGCAGGCATTTTTCCTTTTCATCTCAATTTATCCGCTTATAACAATGGCGGATTTAGTATATGCAAGTCGAACACTTTTATCTAGGAACTGTCAGTGATTAGAGTTGCTCGGATCTGCTCTGACTTTCAATAGAAAAAGACGCAGATATCATAGCATCTCATGAAACAGTATGACATATCCTTCTGATTACCTCCTGCCTGAGCTGCTTGCACATGAGGACGATATATCTACCATTTGTTATTAACCACACTAAGAAATTAAGGCATAGAAGGAAGTCATCCATGATCTTTCTGATAGGCATAATCACTCTATGCTTGCAACTTTTGACCGAAAGTAATAGAAGGAGTGGTCGTGAAGGGTCGGGCATACTTCACGCGATTTCAGCCGCGACGGGATTTGGCAACTCGCCAGAAGTTTTCATATCCAACACAAGGGAACTGCACATGCTAGTAACTTACGTGGAATGTTAAAATGCCCTATCTTCTGTACAGGGCTCCTAAATTGCAGAGTCGTTTGCACCAGCGGTCGCGCGACCGCGTCGCGCCCGGGCATTTTGCCGGCGCCGGCGCCATCGATCGAGGCGGCGCCATTGATGCCCGGGCGCGACGCGGTCGCTCGACCGCTGGTGCAAACGACTCTGCAGTTTAGGAGCCCTATACAATTTAAATGTGCTCACAGTGAGATATGGACAATTGGAATATTGCCAAATCGCGTCGCGACTGAAATTGCGTGAAGTATGCCCGGCCCTAAAGCTTTGAAGGCATAATAATAACTCTATGCTTGCATTTTTTGACCAATAATAGGAGTGGTCATGAAAGCTTTGAAGTCAGAATGGAGTTAAATTGGAATTATCCGTCAAATTTTCCGGAGAGTAGAACATATATAGCGCACCTTTCTAGGCATCCACATGAAATGGTCGGTTAAAGCTATAAAATGACTGAGACATTTGGAGCGTCTTGTACATCTACCGCGATACTCAACGAATTGTAAGATCAAAACTTGCTGATTTCCAGCAAATTTCAATTTCTTCCTTGTATTTTTAATTTGATTGCAAATGTGTTGATTAGTACTACACATTTTATCACGCTGAAAAACGTTTTATTGAGAACTCACTAGTAAGAGCGTCGTCGATTTGCCGCTACAGACTTAGGGGCATCCTTAAGTCATTTGTAATTCGATATGTTAGCCTACATGCTATGCGCAGCAATTTGTAATTCTTGGAGCATGTCGAGGTATGATTGGATTAGTGAGTACTAAACTCTGCTAATTGTAAAGTATACTGAAACTGACTACAGCCGCTTACACATTGTAGACGAAATCATTGGCGACAAACGCCGTTTTGCAGTAATTTCGAATTACACTAGCTGAGGAAAAACGCACGATCTTATTAATCTTATTAAGCACCAACATCTGATTTAGCTCATACTGTGGCGTTGACTTACACCTTGCCCATCCAACCACTCTTGAAGGCGTTCAGTTCGAAATAAATGGCTCTTGAAGTGCAAAATAGACATTGTTTTCAATATTCCAAAAATCCGAAACAATCAGCTTGCAAAGGAGTGGTCAAAAGCAGTTGGCCATAAACGAAACTGCATCAGTAGATTGAACTCAGCACATAGGTGCGATGGGATGAGCAAAAGCTTACCCCCCTTCACTTTGGAGGTCGGACCACCCCCCCCCCCCCTTCACCTGAAAGGGACGAAAAAATTTTTTTAAGGTGAGAAATTACTGCACACGGAATTACAAAAATATTGAATGAAAAAATGCATTTTTAGAAGGATCGGATGTTGTAAAAATGGGTTCGAACTACAGCGATATGGGCAGCGGGCAATGGCAGACATTAAGAGGCTTGAAGGGCGCTGATGGACAGCTTTATTGGAAAATATTGATGTGAACGATGTTAATAAGAGCCGTGCGTGGAGATATGGGGCTACCGTGGAGATATGGGGCTCCGACGTGGAGGGGCGGGGTACTGTTGGGCACCTCTGGAAACTATCTCACCTGGCAAAGATATTGAACCTCACAAATTATATATCGTTGTATAGCTTTCGAGGGCCGGAATCCGAATCTAGCTCAAAATCGGCTTTAGCCCATTTATACATGAGTTATACTGGAGAGCGATCTACTGCAAATTACACAAGTCAGAAAAAGTGACCTTGCTCAATTATCGTCAACATCGTAGCTTCAACTTTACTGCCCTAGGAATTTCTCCTGACATCAGTTATACTAGTCTTATCACTGTGCTACACTGTGTATGTTTATTCTGCTTCAAGTGGACACAATTGAGCAACAAATTTTTTTATTGTACTCCATAGATAGCGACTTACGGATTTATTTGCAACAATAATTCCTAATCATCGCGGAGTCTCTTATTAATATTATCCACATTTGTACGTTCCAGTAAACCTTCATTCAGCACCTTCCAAGCCTCGAGTATCTGCCATTGTCCATTGTAAATTTCGGTCGAAATCACATTCACAACATTACACGTTCCACCCACCTAAACATGCATCTTCTCACCGAAAAATGGTGTATGAAAATGAAATAATATTTATATAAATTCAAAACAAAGTACTTATAAACATTTTGCTAATTATATTTCATACAAATCCAATTTAGAGAATTTGACCATCCAAACTGGATAATGTTATAATTTTACCATTTTTTCAACCCCCCAACCTCCGGTCGACGCTGGCACTTTCCAGACACCCTTCACTTTTAGGGGTCAAAATCAGCTGGGACACCCTTCACTTTCGAGGGACCCCGATCACCCCATCGCACCTATGGCTCAGCAGGAAATGGTCAAAGTTTAGCCCAGCCATTTCCAACAAGCTGGAAATCATAGGATTCGCCTTGAAACGCTGATTTCAGATATATGTCTTTTATCTGCCAATCGACTATCTGGAGGAGTTATGAGCGTTAAAATATGAGAAATTCTTCGAGTTTCGAAGAATATATCTTCTTGAAAAGCAGCCTAATGGCGCGGACTTACGGTGATTATGGTTATTTTAGTTACAAGGAAGATTTTATATTATGAACCCAGTAACTACAAATGTAATAAATTATGATTCATCAAGATCGATGATAATTCAGGAATCCTCCGTAGACGTAAACAAGTGTTTTCGAAACCTATTTCGTGGAACATGCGCCACAGAACACATGACAAATCGAACATTTAGACGTTCATAACTCCTTCCAGATAATCGCTTGGCAGATAAAAAAATATATTTGAAATCAGCGTTCTAAGACGAGTCTGATGATATACAGCCTGTTTGGAATGGGTAGGTTAAGTTTTGACCACTTTCTGCTCAGCATATTGAGCTATTGCAGAGGCTGAATTCTTTCTTTCCAAACGCCTGTGTACAAATTCACAAACTTCTATTGCTAGGAACAAGTACACGAAGAGGAGCAATGAACATATCTATGTGTACAACCATGTTAACATGTATGACCATGTTTCAATATAACCATGTTCGACTCAGTGTTCGATCAGATCAAGCAGTGAGCAGGGCCCGGCACGAGGTGGGCAAATGACAAGCTGGAAATCGTTTTTGATGAGAAAAGCAAGAGGGAAATCGTTTTGCGGGGTCCGGGGCGGAGCCACGGAAGAAGATTCCAAGCGCAAGCAAAAGAAGGTCGGATCATGCTTATTACCTTATACAATTCATTGGGAAGTAGTTTCCATAAGCCTCAACGCACAGAGTTTGCGCGGCTACGCCGCGCCGCCGCTAACTGCCGCGTGCGTTACGTCGCATAAGCGATGTCTTTGAACAGCATGATTACATGATCGGTTCTCAATGCAGGCGTAACGATATAGCACCAAACTAAGTAAGCTATGAAGAGAGGCTAGGAGAAACAAACTATGAAATATTATGAAAAACTTATGTGAGTGGGAGCTGTAATAAGCATTTTTTCCAAAAATTTTGCAAATGTGAATTTAAATGGCTCGTTTGCAGCGCACAGATGACCAAACGGTGTGAAAGTTGGTAGGTCTCTGAACACAGGCCTGTAGGGCTTAAATTAGAAGTTTCACTGAAAAATTATGTGACTGAAGGCTGTGGCAAGCTTTTTTCTGAAAATTTCCCATTATCAAGAAAATGGAAAATGGCTCGTTTGCACCGCAGATTGAACGAAATTGCGCGAGACTTGGTGTGTATACGCGCAGTAGGACTAAGGAGCAATGCACGAAAAATTATGAAAAACTTATGTGAATGACCCCCACAATGGTCGGTCGCCTCATCGTGGCGTGGGGGTGACACTGGGTGTCGAACTGCGATGCACAGCCGAGTGTATACTCTGGTAGGGCCTCCCAAGCTGTGAAGGAGTTCGACGTTTTCGGTTTCGGCCGGATGCCTAGCTAAGAACTGGCCACGCCAGATCCTCCGCCGTCTGGCTTCTTCTGGTCGCTAGGCGGTCCCTCCCCGCTCCAAGCCCGGGGTCAGCGATCGCCCCGTGGAAATCAAGAGTAGGCCTAGTAAGCCACCTCTTGTAGGGGAACAAATTTTATTACTCAGACAGCAAGAAGATTTAGAAAAAACCCTGTACATCGGATCCCGCCTACGGCGCCGGGTGGTAGCAAGAACGATGTTAGGGTACTCAGGGCGCCTTTCGGATTGGACAAAAACGACACGTCTGCCCGGACGACACGCCATGGAGATTGCCTCATGCTCTGCACCTACAACGCCAGGACAGTCTCCACAAACGCCGACCTACACGCTCTTCTCGACGCTGCAGAGCACATCAACTACCACATCATCGCTCCGCAGGAAACGAAGTCCAGGAAGAAGGACGTGCGACAGATGAGTGATGGGACCCTCATCAATCGTGGTGAAAAGGTTCCATCACGAAACGTGGGAGGCGTCGGCTTTGTCGTTCACCCATCTATCGTCCATCTTGTCGATTCGCACGAGATCCTATCACCTCGACTAGGCATCCTACGACTACGACCTCCACACCAGAAGACCATCAGCATCATCAACTGCTATTCTCTAACATCAGCAGCTGACGAATCAGAACTAGATGCTTTCTACGAAGATGTGGAGGAGGTCGTCCGCAACGAGAAGTCCTTTTATAAGTTTGTTGTGGGCGACTTCAACGCGAAAATCGGGATGCCACTGGAAAAGGAATATAGGATCGGGAAGTTTGGATATGGGCTCCGGAACGAAAACGGCAACCTTCTTGTTGGGCTTCTCTCCGCCGCACGACTTTTCCATGGAAATTCCATCTTTATGAAGAAAGAACATCGCCGGTGGACATGGGAATCGCCCAACGGAACGACCCACGCGGAGATCGACCACATTCTCACCAACCGAAGGTGGAGCTTGCTCGATATCTCAGCTTCCATCCTTCTGCAGTGGCTCCGATCACCGCCTCCTTCGAGCGAAGGTACGATTCAGTCGAAGGCTGGAAAAGAAGGTCTGCCACAGTGCCGCAAGAAGGAAGAATGTCGTTTATGACGGTAACAGGTGGGAGGAGCTCATATCAAGTTGTGACTGGCCCATCGAGGAGGACCCAACGTACGACTACGACCGGCTTCTGAAAGGATTGCGAGCCTGCGGAGAGTGCGCCTCAGTGACTTCCGAAAAGTATGTTGAACGCGTTTCGAAGACCGCCAAGGAAATGCTTGAAAGAAGAAGATTTCTGAGGCAGGATCCGTATGCAATCCATCTCGAGCGACTGATAGCCAACGTCAGTTGCAGAACAGCTTTGCAGGAGGATCTCAGGAAGTACAGGCAAGCCAAGATACTGGAAGCAGTCGAAGGAAGACGAAGTCTCAAGAAGTGCCGAAGGGACCTCTCTGAATATCGCGTACCGCTGGCTGCACTATTGAACGAAGACGGGACTCCGACTTCTTCCCGATACAAGATGGAATCTATCGCGAAGAACTTCTATACCAACCTCTTCCGCTTCAACACCCGTGCCGATGATCGTTGTTCCCACTGGAGAAGTACCACCACGAATTCTACCTGCTGAAGTGCGCACAGCGATTCAGACCATGAAGACGTCCACGGCTCCAGGACCAGACCATCTTTCCGTCGAATTTCTGCGAGCTGGAGGACAACGTCTACACGAAATCCTCGGGTCGCACCTAACAACTTACCTTCAGAAGGAAAGGATTCCCGACCAGTGGAGAACATCAAGAACCGTCCTTCTTTTCAAGAAGGGTGAACGGGAAGATCTTCTGAACTACCGTCCAATATGCCTGCTGAGTGTGCTGTACAAGCTTTTCACGAAGATTATCATCGCTCGCATATCTAGGACACTGGATGAAGCCCAATCCCAAGAACAAGCTGGATTTCGCAAAGGATTCAGCTGCATGGACCACATCCAGACGGTTTCGAGGGTCATAGAAGTCTGCCGGGAATCGACTGCCTCTCGTCCAAACCTTTGTCGACTACGAGAAAGCCTTTGACAGCGTCGAAACCAACGCCATCCTGTCTGCGTTAGTCGACCAAGGAGTGGACCCAGCTTAC